CCCAAAGATCCAGTCCCCCGACACAAACAGAGCAATGTTGTGTATGCTGTTCAGTGTCAGGAGGGCTGTGATCAGTTTTACATCGGGGAAACTAAACAGCCACTGGCCAAAAGGATGGCCCAGCACAGAAGATCAACATCATCAGGCCAGAACTCTGCGGTCTACACTCATCTCCAGGCCAGCGGTCACTCTTTCAAGGATGAAGATGTTCACATCCTGGACAGAGAGGAACGATGGTTTGAGAGAGGAGTAAAGGAGGCCATCTTTGTGAAAAGAAATCGTCCATCATTAAACAGGAGTGGAGGCCTCCGGGTTCAACTGTCCCCCTCTTACAATGCTGTGATTGCTAGTATCACTCAGCCCTCTGTGAATAGTAAACAGCCATCAGTGTGCTAATGATCCATTGTTAGGCTGATGGTCCTTCTTGAGCATGTGATCAGCTGGTTTTGGTTGTCAGCAGCAAACTGGTTGATCCTCTCTAAGAAGGTGCAATTTAAGAGACTGAGCTGAAAACAGCACCTCAGACTGAGGAAGTCTCTTGGATGAGAGACGAAACGTTTCTAGATTTTTTTTTGTTGATTTATTGATTTTTTTATTTTTTTTGAATCTCCAGAGGACCAGATTTAACTTTTTTAGATTTTTCTACCTGGATTATTGAGCATGCATCAGGATACTAAAGGAAATGACACAAAAACCTCTGAAGAAGACACTTCTTCTTGAAATAAAAACAAAAACGGAATGGCGTCAAATTTTAGCGGTGAATGTACCCTTAAAAGGACATGGAACAATGCCAGTGCATCTCTCTTCAATTTGATGAGTCAATTGATACAATGGATGTGGTCCAGCTGTGTGTTTTGAGTGCCAAGGAGGAGCTCCTCACTGTCTTGCCTTTGAAAGGACTCGCATGAGGAGAAGATATTTTTGTTTGCTAATAAGTCTTCAGTGAGGACTGAACAAGACAAAAGGACCTTCTCCTACTCCGATCCTGTTTCCTGGAATATCTTGCAAAAAGATCTGAAGCTCTCGACCATGACCTCTCTAAGTGGTTTTAAACATCTGTTAAGCTTCTGGCAAAAACCAATGCAGACATGTTCCTGTTTTGAGTTTTCTACATCACCTTATGATCTAGCTGTTTTTTAAGCTACTTTTTCCTTTTGACCGTCCTTTTGGTTGCCATTTTATTTTAATGTGTAAGAAAAAAAAATGTGTACGCTTCTTTTATGACTGTCGGATTATGAGTCAACATCACTTCCGGGTATACTGCACATGTCGGTTGCAGAAAGAAACCGTGATCATGTCTTGTTGTGCTGTGGGTTGCACCAACCTTTTTGGTAAAAACAATAAAACGCAGAAGTTTTACAGAATTCCATCAACTCGCACCCCTTTCAAGGCTAACAGGAGACGTCTTTGGTTGCAAGCCATCAGAAGGAGCGATTGGAACGAGAAGATGATTAAAAATGCAAAAATCTGCAGCGAGCACTTCATATCAGGTAAGGGCTGCCTAGCTAACAAGCATCGCTGATTATTGCGTCCTATATACAAAAATATGAACAACTGATCACTCAGATACGAGTGTACCTAGCTTACAAGCCAAGATATCTTAGTTCAGTGATGCCGAGTTGAGTTGCTAATCATTTACTGTTGTAAAGTTGTGTGCTAACACATGCTTTGCCAGTTAGCGCTGGCCAACCATGTGCTATTTTCATTAACGTCAGTCACTGGAATACACTTTATTTGTACAGGAGTGGCCTCTGAAGACTTCAACAGTCCTGACTTTGTCACGTCCATCTTCTCCTACTCTACAAAGGCCGGCAAAGACCGCGATGGAAAATTGGAGCAGTAAATAGAAGGATACTGACTTGAACTGAGGCTGTAATAAACTTGTGTTTAACAAAGTAAAGTGATGCTTTCCTGCTGTACCTAACGAGTGCTCTCTTCTGTGTTTCTCAGCTACAAGAGAAAAAGACGAAGGGATGAAACCCCCAGCAGATGTCCAAACAATGGACCATATTGTCCATCCTCATGAAAACTGCGTTTAGGGCTCACCAATAAGGATATTACGTTCAGATTTAATGTTACTGAATGTGACATTTCCAACATTTTGAGAAGTTGGCTCCCTGTTATGTCTCAGACTTTGAAACCTCTAATCTATTAGATGACATTGTAACTGTGTGTGCAGCGTTAACATTTGGACTGTATGTCCCTAGAAAATAAACTGTAAATACCTTGTTGAAGTATTTAAGAGTTAAGGATACATCAAAAACTTTTTATTTCTCGTTTGTACATAAGTAATGTCATTAAAAAGCAACAACAAAATAACCATTTCTTTTTTTAAACTTACACACAGTGATTTGAAGGAAAAAGTTAAAACTGAATGTTAACAGGAAAAGTTACAATAAATGATGCGTCAAAGTGGATTGTTTTTAGCTTCTTTCTTTTACAATATTTCTTTGTATGAATAACTGTTCATCTATGTGGAGGACTGTGTTCATCATTTGATCATCTCTGGCTGCACCAGTGTATCCTGCTGGGTCCAAATCACAAAGTGGAAGGACTGGACGCCACACACTGTGAAGCTGAACTTGATAATAGTATTAATTAACAGCTCCTGGTAATAAATGAATAAATAAATATAAAACCTCAAATAAGCAACAAATAAACCTGGTCGTGTGTGAGGGTTTTCTTACAGTTCCGTGTTTTTTTTGTGTGAATTTTTTTTTTTTAATCGCTGAGCGAAAAATGTATTTTTTTAATACAGCTTGTCATGTTCACTTTAGCCTGACAAATATCAGTCAGCCACCAAGACATCGAGTGTATTTATAGTTTTTAATACTAAGAAATCTATCAGAAGAGCTGTGAAGATGGACGCCTCTGTGCTTCCTCCCAATAAAGGAGAACAGAATATCGCACAAGACACCGGCTCTTTCTGCACTACGGCTGCGTGCGCATCCACCGTGTTGATAAACATATATTCCGTCTATACTTACAGGTGTTCATATTTTCAAGAACTGCATTCAGGACAGGTTACATACATAGATACTGTACATGCATGCACATGCAAGAGAACATTGACCTAGATTCAGCTACGAGCCGCGTTATCTGCTCGCTTTTATACCCCTCTCAGCTCAGCGATAACAAGAGTTCAGGGGGTGTGCATGGAGCCAGCTGCAGTCTTATTACACAGCACTCTTCATTTACACAAACATATCAATTCAATTCAATTCAATTCAAAAATATTTTATAAAATCCCAAAGGTAAATTAAATGTTGTAATTCATTGTTCTAGATGCTGATGGTTGTGGGCAGGAAGGATCTCTTGTAGTGGTCTGTCCTACAACGGATCTGAAGAAGCCTCTGACTGAAGACACTCTGTTGTTGTATGACAGTCTGATGAAGAGGATGCTGAGGGTTGTCTATAATGTTCATTTTATGAAGAATCCTTTTTTGTACAATTATCTCCAAAGGTTCTACACGAGTCCCCAGAACTGAGCCAGCCTTCTTCATGAGCTTGTTGATCTTTTTTAAGGCAATTGCTCTGGTGCTGCCCCAGCAGATGATGACAGAAGAGATAGTGCTCTCTACAACAGACTTATAGAAGATATGCAGCATCTTGCTGCAAACATTGAAGGACTTCAGCTTCCTCAAGAAGTACAGTCTGCTCTGTCCTTTCTTGTTGGTTTCACTGTTGCATCTCCAGTCTGTTGACATGGTTCAAGGGCAGAAATACAGTAAAATAGTGTTTAGGGAGATGGTTCAGCTTGTTTGGGTCTTACTGTTCTCAGTACAGAGGGGAAGAATGTTCTCAACCATAATAATAAAAACATCTATAACCTTTGACAAAAAATTCCTTGACACAGAGGTAAATTTTTACCCAGACTCTGTGAGTTGTTGCCTGAAATCAGGGATCTTCTGATGCTGTCAGGCCATGGTGAACATTCAAAGCTGGAGGACACCCAGTAGCTTTTGGATTTAGCCTTTCTCACTGATCTCACTGGCCTGCTCTGTGAACTTCATTTGGAGCTTCAGGGAAAGGATAAAAATATAATACACATGATCAGCTCAGTGAGCACTTTCATCTCACAAGTCGACTTGTGACCAGGGACCTGTGAAACTTTCCACACAGGCAGGCAGAACTTCAGCTCCAAGGGTAAGATGTAACACAGTTCAACACTGCAGTGTACTACAAGCAGGTTCAGAGTATCTTGTCAGAATTTGAGACATGGTTTACTGAGTTTGCATCCAATGAGTCTGTTACCATCTACATGTGTTTTCCTTTGAGAACTATTGATGTTGAGGACAGTGTCCAAATTAGTGTCCATGTTTCAGCTGGACCACTCTGGTGTTGAAAATGAGATTTTGATAATGGGATCAAATCCAGAGAAACACCAGGCATGGATGGAGAGTTCTGGAGTCTGCTGTCAGAAGAAAAGAACCCTAACATCAGAAGATGTGCTTTGAACTTGACAGCACTATTTGGCTCATACTACTTGTGAGTCTGCTTTCTCTCACGTGAAAATCATCAAGTCCAAGAACAGATCCACAACGACTGATGGCCATCTGGTGACTACAACCAGCTCATACTGTCCGGCCTATGAGAACCTGGTTTCCTCCTCCCAGTGTCAGAAGACCCACAGAGGTAGAGACACATTTATTTTCATATAGTTTGCGTAAAAAATTATCTATTCTAGACCCGTCACAATTGGGTCTTTGTTGTTTTTTAATTGCATATCAGGCTGGGCTAATGTATCATGCACTGAGTGGCAACATTGTGTGTGTGTTATGACTAGACAAATACATTTAGGCAAACTTCCAACTTCAAAAGTAGATCTTTGGGGGCAATTGTGGCTGAGTGGTTAGAGCAGTCGTCCTCCATTGTAAGAGCTGGGGGTTTGATTCCGCCAGCAGTCACATGCTGAAGTGTCCCATGGCAAGACACTGAACCCCTCATTACCTCCGATATGTCCCATCAGTGTATGAATGCGATGTAAAGTACTGATTAGTCTTTGTAGAGATGAAGTGGAGTGCTGTATGAATGTGTGTGTTGGGAGGTATTTGAGGGGCACATATTGTAGTGTAAAGAGCTTTGAGTATCTTGATAAAAATAGAAATTTAATTTAATTCCTAAAGTTCAAGTGTATCATGAAATAACTACCTAAAAACAAGCAATACACTGATGTTCCCCGTTGCTGAAAGATTTGAATGGTGAATGTTTGAAGTTTTTGAGATGAGTGTTTTTCTGGACAGAAATTCAACAGGGAATGAAAGTAAACAATGCTTTTGGTGAAAGATATTCAAGTGGAGGCAGCATGGTGGAGCAACTGGTAGAGCTACTGCCTCTTAGCGAGCAGGTCCCTGGTTCAAATCTCGGTCCGGGGGCCTTTCTGGGTGGAGTTTGCATGTTCTCTCGGTGCATGTGTGGGTTTTCTCCAGATACTCCGGTTTCCTCCCACAGACCAAAAACATGCATGTTAGTCTGATTGGTAACTCTAGATTGTCCCTAGGTGTGAATGAGAGAGTTAATGGTTGTTTGTCTCGTTTGTCTCTATGTGTCCCTGTGATGGACTTGTGACCTGTCCAGGGTGGACCCCGCCCCTCGCACAGTGATTGCTGGACATGGGCACCGGCGACCCCCGTGACCCAAAATGGAAGAAGCGGGTAAAAAGATAATAGATGGAATGGATGGATATTCAAGTGGGGGAAAGTTGCACTCTGTGAGCGGAGGGAGCAATTTTATCCACAACCAGGTAGAGAAGGGGGTGGCCAGTGGTGGCCTTGACAGATTAATCTGTGGCCACCCCAATCATTGGAGTAAACTATAGTTTGAAACAATATAAAAAAGGAAACTATAGTTTCCTCAAATGGTAGGGGTGGTTAAATTGTATATACATTCATATGGCAGTGGCCATCTTGGATTTTTACTTTGCAAACTAAGATAGTGATCTTGCTTACGCCTAGATGTAGCCACACACCAAAATGGAAGTGGGTACTTCCCTTGTTTTTCAAGTTTTTGTGCTCACAACATGCACGGATGGATGCAGGGTGTACGAATGGTTGGATGGAGGGTGTATGGACGGTTGGATGGAGAGGTTTCCAATTCCACCTCCTTGCTCTGCGACAGGGGACAAAAAGAGGTGCTTTGGAAAAATAACCAATTTTGACCATCGGCATAACTTTATTTTTGCAAGTAAATCAAACTCTGCAGCATAAATTGCTTTATGAAGTTTGATTAACCTTTGATTAATCGTTTACTGTGGATTTATTTTCTCAAGCCAAAAAATACTCTATGTATAAAATCGTGGTAAAAGCAATTCTCACTGTGTGTCTTGGAAAAGTTATTTTCCAACTTAAAAAGAGTTTGCCTGTTTTACAGTGAACAAAACCTTTGATCATAGCAGGTAAATGTCTTGGAAATGGACACAACAGAACGTTTACTTGATCCATAATGTCCTAAAACTGAAAGACTTTGTGCTTGTTCCAATATATTTACCTGTCGTAGTCCTGGATAACGTTACCGACTGCCCAGATGGCTGCCAGATACTCGTTGTAGCCTTGAGGGTTGATGTAGTGGAGGGAACTGGGTGATGTGGGGTTCCCATTAGAGCCTGTGAAATCTATAGCAATCTGGCCCCAGCAACAAACGTTTAATATAACCAGTGATTCTTAAAAATGGAAAGGTAAAACTCAATGATAGTCTCTATAAATGTTTACTAAAAGTGGTTAGATTCATAACTCACTGTAAAGTTGATCTGACAGCCACCCATTATGTAATCCAGGAAAGTGTACTCCTTCACAATCTGCAGGTAAATACAGATGACAGGAAATCATTGCTGCATATTGCTGTAGTAAATGCAGAACGTGCTTTGTGAAAATACATATGATCTTCCATGAAATAGACCTTTGGTTTTATGGATTTATAGAGAAACGTGTACAGAGGCTTGCAAAAGTTTCCAATAACATCCACCTGTGTGCAATCTAAGCCGTAAATGTTCTCGGTGTACATACACCTGCTCTGATAGTCCCCAGGATTAGCATCACCAGGATCTAATTAGTAGGGTCTATCACCAAGGGAAATACAGCATGAAGAACAAGGAACTCTCCACCAGCTCAGTGAAAGTTGTGGAGAAGTCCAGATCAGGGTTGGGTTATACAAAAATATCCGTGTGGTAAAACTGAAAACATTAACCATGTCTGGTTAATAAATGTCTAACTCAAGGGCGTCAGAAGCATCCATAATGTGGGGGGGACACAATGATGTGTGTAGGTGCGTGTGCATGTGCATGTGTGCATGTGCGCACATTTAAAAAAAAGTGTTCACTAGTGTACAAAAAAAGCAACATTTCACCTAGATTTCCTTTAATTCCACATATTTAACACATGTTTCTCACCAAGTTTGTGTAAATTCAGCTGTGGGTTTAAAGTAATTTTAACTTTAATACAGAGCGTCAGGTCGGCACTAATTGTCTTTATAGGGAAATAAAAAACATCACCACTAGACTTGTGTTCAACACTACTCATCTAAATGATGTTTCTCATGAAGCTTGAGGACAATAAGGTGTGGGGTTTTAAAACATTTTAACTTTAATGCACCTCAACACACAGCGTCTCTTACACCTGCAGCGTCTTACAGCATCACAGTTACTGCTAAGCTAAGATGCTACAGACGTAGCGCTCCACTTCTCTCCTCCTAACTCCTAACATATATATACATGTCTATGAGCAACCCCCCTGATCAACAACTGCCCGCACAAAGCTGCTAAACTGGCGAGCGAGTAACACAGAGGTGTCTCCATCTCCTCCACCTGTGCACGTTTTCTGCCGAAGAAGAAGGAGACGCACAGAAACACTGTAGGTGTTACACCATATTCTGTGACCACCGTATATTGTGACCGTGGCAACAGGCTGCTGTGTTTAGAGTTGGAGGTAACCAGGAAAACCTGGAGTGGAGTTTTAGTGGTTTGAGTATTCTCCTATTAATCAAGTAGAATGGATTTGTTCATGAAGAAAGAGAAACTGTGCCGCCTGAACTAATGTTTCATAGTAAAAGTGGGGGGGTCCAAATGAACGTTTTTGGAATATGGGGGGGGACTTGTCCCCTTCATATATAATGGTTGAGACACCTATGGTCTAACACCATCTGCACAATGAAGCATGGTGGTGGTAGCATCATGCTGTGGAGGTGTTTCCCATCAGAGACAGGGACATTGTTTACAAATTGATAGTTTACAAGAGTGCAGTCGCTTACAACACATTTTACGTTTGATGACAAACTATTAAAGAAAAAAGCAGCAATCTACAGCAATGGCCCAGAGAAGCAAAGACCTTGTATAACCTTTGACCTTGAGTTGTGACCTTGAACTTAGAGCTGTGTTGATGAAAATATTATGCAACACTCTGTGTAGTGATGATGCAAATAAAGTTTCAATAAAGTTTCTTGAGCAGATTGAAAGTTATGCCCCAGACAACAATTATATTCAATTAAATATTAATACTATAATATTATTAATTATATATATTGTTATTATTATTATTTATTTTTTCCATATTTTCTATTATATTACCTGAAATTGAAATGACAGATCAATCTTTTGGTCAGGATGTCCCAACCTTTTACAAAGGCGATGTTTGTCCAAAAATAAAAAAATAAAGTATTTGAAAAATTGAAATACGTTTTAAGACATTATATGTTGTTCTTGCACTACTCTGAGTTTAACAGCATTGTGCTTTTGTCTTCAGTTTTAATCATTTCCGCATGCTTTGTTTTTGACTTTATAAATTGCTTGATAAAATTAAAGCACGTAAAAGATATTAGTACCTTGCACTGTTTTATGATGACGACACCAGAGTTTTTGTATCCTTTCTTCTTCTCCTTCTTCTTGCTGTTGATGCATTCAAACTCAGCCTGCGATGATCAGACGTGTGACAGAATGCTCAAATTAAATGCGTTATGCATATTGTTTGTTAAAAACATTAACAAACAGAACAGCGCTCACCGCATATGATTGTGTTGCCTGTTGAATTTGGCTGAGCGAGGTCTGAAATGACCCAATAATTTCATGAGAGCCACTGTTGTTGTGATCATAACACTCTACCTGAAAAAGACAGACATTGTAAACAAAAAGCAAGATAAAGTCAGAGAACTGCCAACATGTTGCAACTAAATGACCACAAATTGTGTGGAAGCCAGAGAAGATGAGACAGAAGCATGCTATAAGTGCTGAATGTAGCGCCCAGAAACTGAGATCTTTATGAGAAACACACACAATCAGGGATTGCTGCTTTTTCAACATGACCTTATGTGCCGAGAGAAAAAGGGTCACAACAAAAAGCTCTACACAAAGAATGGAATATCCAGAGCGGTGAACTGTGTGTTAACAGCTGAGAAAGCTCATGGGTGTCCCATCTTAATGGAAAACTCTAATCAATGAGAAAGTGGCCCTTTGGTTAGCTAACCTCGAAATGTAAAAACATTGAGTTGATTCAGTCATTTAAAACTGAAATGAACTGAAGTAAAACTGTGTCCGTAAACAAAAAGCTCGTTTTTCAAAATAAAAACGTATCCAAACTCAGAGTTTTCAAATATATTGTTGGGCTAAAAAAATAAAAAAAAACATATCTACCAACACCATGATACAAAATACCATTTAGCTGTTTTTTTTTTTTTTACAGTGACTTCAGAAAGTATTTAAATCTTCTTGACTTTTTGTTATTTTATGCTACAGCCTGATGCAGCAATCGTTTACTTTTTCCCTCAATAATCTACCCTCAGTACCCAAAAATGACAAAGTGAAAACAGAATTCAATAAAATTTTGGAAATGCATTAAAAATAAATAATATATGGACTATTATGTAAATATCACATTTACAAAGGTGTTCAGGCCCTTTGCTTGGCTGGAGCACGTTTAGCAGCAGTTTCAGCCTTGAGGTTTTGGAGTTTGATGCAACAAGTTCTGCAGCCTGGATTGCAGGATTTTTGCATCCCGACGCAGAGCGAAAAGGGCAACTGGAAATACCCTCCCATCGTCCGTCTGTCCATGTCGTGAGCATGCTAACTTCAAACTTGTGTTGATACATCAGATGGATATGAGCCATTTTCAGGTCTCTCTATTAGAGCCCGACCGATATATTGCTATGGACGATAATTTAGGCTGATATAGACGATTGGGGACATATAGTATCAGTGATAATTGTCCCATTATGCGCCGATATAAACACTTCTAATTTTCACACCTAAAATGCTGGAGCCAGCTGTAATTGCACAATGTATCCAGTAGAGGGCACATGAAAACTACTTTCAAGTCATGGCCGTTCACTTAAGTTTCACCCTCAGCACAGACAAAACAGGGAGCAATACTGTGTAGTGTATTTTACTGAACAGAGCATGGTAAGTTTAACTGATCTGTAAAATAAATCAATAATAAATTATCTTCAATCCTCCAACTCACTAGTCATTAGCTAGGTGCCTCTCAAGTTAGCAAGCTAATATTTATATAACCTAGCATAGGCTATTGCCTGGTAAAACTTTGCCCAGAACAATAAATCTAACGTAGCATTAAATATATCAGTGTTAGTAACAAAGTTCAGTCAGGTCCTCTGGACGGTTGCTGTTTTTAGTTGTTGAAGCATTTTTTTCTTCATCCAAAGGACTTCATCAAGCAGCGCACTTCCATAGTGGACCAACCAGTTTGCTGGTGATAAGATGCTTTCTGGGGCCCGCCCTCTCCCCCGTCGACTTCTCTGAGGCAGCCATAGCCAAAGTCGTTCAAAACACCAAAGTTCATGCACAATTATCCAGGTACAATAATCCAACAAAGTTCAGTCAGGTCATCTGGATGGTTTCTTTTTTTTTTTACATTTTGTCCTACATCCAAAAGACTTCATCTATCTAAGGAGCCACAAAAACTGCCTCATAGTTGTAGACGAAGGAGAGGGCGGGTCCCAGAAACCATCTTATCACCAGCAAACTGGTTGGTCCACTACAGGAGTGTGCTGCTTGTGGGACTGAGTTTGTTTTGTGGCTCCTCGGATTGATGAAGTCCTTCGGATAAAAGACGATACATCTCAACCAAAAAAAGAAAACATCCAGATGACATGAATGAACTTTGTAGGATTTTTTTTACCTGGATTATTGAGCATGAACTTTGATACAGTGTTAGTAATGTTATCTTTGCCGTCCTAAATGAAATGCATTGTTTGTCCAAAATCTTTACTTCTCTTCAAAGAAAAATAAACTCTGCTGAGGTCAATACTAATTAGACCATCACCATACGTAACTGTTTAAACAATGAACAGGAAGTGTGTTTCTTTGTTTACTTTATATTTTTGTGACACTTGATAACTTTATGGTGACTAGTGGAGGATAAAAAATGTTAACTCATGTTAGGAAGACTGTTTTTTTGACCAGTGCACCACTTGTAAACCTACTGTGGGACTATGTATAGTGTGGATCTGATCAGCTTAAATTCATGGTTGTCAACAGCTGCGCTAAATAAACAAGCCCTGCTCCACTCGCTGTTTTCTTAGATTTTTGGGGGTGGACAAAGCTAAAATAACTTCTAGCCATTATATCAATTATTGGCAGTTGCCTTCCCTGCCCGATATTGGTATTGTCGATAGCCAAAACTTCCATATCGTTCAGGCTCTACTCTCCATCGATATTCAGCAGGGTTCAGCTCAGGGCTCTGGCTGCTACACCCTAGTATAGTCAGAGTTGTTGTCCCTAAAGCCCCCGTATACTCATACGTGCGTACCTCCGCAGGGCATGTCCGCGCTAAGCTAAATTTTTACAACTGCGTACGCGGTGTCGCACAATTAAGTGCCCAACGACAGACTGTTTTGTATGCGACACCAATGTATTAAATTCCCCTTCTTCATCCCTGATCTGGCCCTTTCTTTTGTTTTTTTGCCAAAAGGTAAGTGATCTCTACCTTCTCTGTTGATGCCATGACTGAAACGGTGAGAAATGAAGGGATTTGTCACGAGAGAACTAAAATCCGATCCAGCATGGCTGCGGGAGGGTCTGGAGATTTCCTGGTGGGCAGGTCTGATGTGTGGGCTGCAGGGCCAACATATAAACACAGAACACTGCTGCGGCTGGGGCTGCCAACTCTCTTTTTTTTTTGACCTGTCAATCAATCCAGTAGGCATGTCAGCAAATGACCAATCGGCGACCTCAATTTGTCCCGAAGGTAAACGTCCCTTGTCTGCGAAGCTGCTCTGCAGTCGCTCAGGGTGTACGATCGAGCATGAAGTCTCAACCTTCCGCGTACGCGGGAGTATACTGCGGGCTTAAGCCACTGCTGCAATATCTTCACTTAGTGATTTGGCTCATGGTCATGTTGGAAGGTGACCCCTTGGTCCAGTCCAAGGTCCTGATGTACCGATATGTAGTACTGGTCTTCATTAAGATTTCCCCTAACCCTTACCAGTCTCCCAGTTCCTACTGCTAAAAAAAAACAAAAAACATCATGATGCTGCCATGACCGTGCTTCAATGTTGGGTTGATGAGTGCTGCATGGAGTCCTTCAGACACAACATTTTTGGGGGAGTGGTGGCGCAGAGGTTAGAAGATGGGCCTGTGATCGGAAAGTCGCAGGTTCAACTCCCGGTACCGTCAACATCAAAATGTGTGTGAAAAAGGTAGAACACCTCCCTCCACCCTCATTCGCCCCACTCTGGGCCCCAGAGCAAGGCCCTTAACCCCCACCATCTGCTCTCTAAACAGGTCTCTCTTGAAAATGAGTTCTCGTGGCTCAATGAGACTACCTGGATAAATAAAGAGTAAATGAAATAAAAAATTTAGAAGTGAGGCTAAACAGGTCAGTCATGGTTTCATTTGATTTAGGAACAAGATTCTCTGGTCTGAGTCCTTCCAGAAGGGTTTGACTCAGAGGTTCTGATGAGCTACTCTGACATGACGCCCAGACCAGTGAAGGCCTGCCGTGATGATCATCTCTTTGTCCTTCTGGAACGTAGTGCCATCCCAACACAGGATCTCATCAGGTTCTTGGACCAGCTCTCGGAAGGTTTCTGCTTGTGCCAAACACCTTGGAGAATCATGGAGGCCACTGATCTCTAAGGAACTTTCAGAGCAGCAAAAAAGTTTTAGTAGAAAAATACCGAGATAGAAAATGAGGTTCTGGAGCTAAATTTGAAGATTTTTTTTATGTGATGTTTCAGTTTTTCTTTCTAATAAATTTACAAAATGTTATAAAATTACGTTTGAACTTTGTAGTTACTAGATACTGAGTGTAGATTACAAAAAAAAAAAAGATGATTTTAAATAAATGATTGTATCTTCAGGCTGTTTTATTATTTGAACGTCGTAACACCAGCCCTGTCAGTAGTGAGGCTACAGTTCACCAAAGGGCCAGTCTCTTCAGAACCCTGTGAGTTCCTTTAAAACAGATGTAGATGTGTCCAGGACTCGAGGTCTGTCCTGTCACAAACACAGCAGCCTTCATGTGATGTGAACTCACTCTGTTAGCAGTTAACTCACTTGTGCTGCTGCCTGGAAAGCATCTGTTCCTGATAAGATTGCTTTAACAGAGTTAGAGGATGAAAACAAAAACATTCCTTTACTTATCGCACTGGCTGATCAGAAGCTTGGAAATGCACAGAGAATGTATTTAAAAACACGTGCAGGAACCTGAAGTTTGCTTTTTTATGATTTTACATAATAAAAATATTTGTCACTTGGAACATTGCCTAAGTGTGTTTTGGTAATTACCGTAATTTCCAGACTATTGAGCGCACCTGAATATAAGCCGTGCCCAATAAATTCAAAAAGAAAAAAAAAGATTTGTACATATATAAGTCCACATTGTAACATAAGATATTTATACAGAAAGATTTTTTAAACGTTTAAATGTGCACAGGTACGTACAGAATTTTTTTTTCTGAACAGTGCCTGTAACATGGCTGGTTAAAACAAAGATACAGTAGCCTACCAGGAAGTCATTGATCGCTATCTTCACAGATGGAGGACAGCTTGTGCTGTCCTCTTCATCACACCTTTGGAAACCCGTTAGTCATATAAGATTTTTTCCACTGCTCCAATGTCAGGAGAGAACAGGAAGTGTGGGTGTGTGTGTGGGGTGGGGGGGGGGGGTGGCGCTTCGTCCCTACCAAGCAACCAACTTGGTTTCATTGATCCACTGTGACCTGTTTGATAATTTCATTGGTCAGATTTTTTTTAAACATTACTTATACAGGTAGTCTCACTGAGTCATGAGCACCCACCCTGCAAAAGAAACGTTTAATGGGCAGCTATGTGAGCGCACCGGTGTGACGAGGCTAAACATTTTGGCAGCATGAAGCTCGTTAGCACTTCAAAAAAAAATCCATAAATTAGCTGCAGCATTGTGTAAGCTGTGGTATTCAAAGTGTGTGAAAAAAGTGGCAGCTTATAGTCTGGAAATTACGGTATTACAGTTTGTGATGTGGAATCTGAGCGGTGTCTGCACCTTTATTGGGTTTTCCACGTCATCCCCACAGAGTGACTGGATCGGGATTCTGAATGGTTTCCAGACTGGGTTGAGGTTGTTTTTCACCACCTGAACATAAAAACCCCTCAAGAACAACTGGACTACAGTAGCTGTATGGACTTTAAACATATTGTGGTTTACTAACACAAACACACTGAGAAGAATTGAAGGAGAAACGTGGAACATGATGAGCACATCTCTACCTCTGTCCTGTGAGCCAGCTGCCATCCACTTCCTGTCTGCTTGTAGATTTCAAGGAAAGGGTCAGACTTACCGAAGAAGTCCTGAAAAAGGAAGCATGTCAAAGAAATGCACAAGTGAAAGAGTTCACTGATGGATCAGACGAGAGCAGGTTACCAAAGTTTGAAGTTTGTCTTCACAGCTGGCAGTAAAATCTGCAGATCTCCATTACCAGCTATTTGTACAAAAAACATCCAGCAATTTGATGCTTTATAAAATGGCACTAGTCAATGAAGCTCTGAAAGTTGGAGTTGTTCTAAGACGGCAGCAGTCCCCTTAGGCCTGAGCTGTGTTTGGACTGGCTGTTAGCTCACAGGTCCTGTCAGACTTAAACTTTATTTCTGTAAAATTGTGTTGTAATGAGCTTTGAGTATGTTGATAAGATAGAAAGGTGATATATAAGTGCAGTCCATTCACCATTTAAAATGAGGCTGTTCAAGAACCCATCTACAACCTCAGTTTAACAAAATGTTGGGTTCAAAATGAATTAAAAAAGAAAAGAATGATTTGAAACTTTCATAAATCACAATGAAACAGAAATGTTTTAAAAGTTTAAACTAAAGTGCATCATTTTGGGAAAAAAAAAAAAGAGGCAAATTTAAATGTTATGGCAGCGACACAAGAGGAACCATCTCGGGTGGCCGAGATGGAGTAGAGGCAGGGCAGCCGACTCGGAACCCCAAAGTCCCAGGTTCGATCCCCAGTCATTGCACATTTCGTAGTGTCTGAGCAGTACACCCTATCCCCAATCGCTCCCCAGGTGCCCTCAGTAGCTGCCCACTGCACCTGAGGGTGTATGGGTTAAATGCAGAGAGACAATTTTGCCATTGTATGGTAACATACGATGACAATACATAAACATTATTATTACCATCCAGCCTGTTATCAGCTCACAGTTCAAAGGTCTGCCTCTCTGGTGGTATGGGGGTGCATTAGTGCCTCTGGCATTACACATCAATGCAGAAGAGAACGTGCAGGTTTTAGAACATCTGCTTGCATCCAGAAGATACTGCTTTCAGTGAAGTACATCAATTACAACCATTGGCTTCGTATTGGAAGAGTCCGGCTGCTGAACGGGCCAGAGTGGGCATCAGCAGGTGAGTTATTAATTAGTTATAACGTTTACAGACAAACCCACTTCAAAATGGCCAAACTCTTCCTTTAAAACAGCAAATTCAAAGCGTTGCTGCTACAGTTCTGATTATTTCAGCAAAGGCAGTTCACATTTGGCTTCTTGTAAAGTTTAGAACTGTGTTCAAAATCCTGCTCAAGGCCCATAAAGTCATCCATCGCCAAGCTCCATCCTGCATTACACATCTCATAATCCAGCCTAGACAGTTATGCTGTCAAAACAAGGATTTACATGTTGGTTTTAAAATTATTAAACCAAATTGGGACCTATCTGTCTATGCAGCTTCCACGTTGGGTGCGTTAGTCTCTGACATCCTCTTACTGAGAGAGAAATGATTTATTTTAAGGTTTTATCAAACGGCTCTCATTGTTTCTCAGTATAAGAGCTTTGTCTCCATGAAGCCTTTTGGATTCATTGAGGAGGTGTATAAGAACACAGCTGATGGATGGTGTGTGTTGTGAAATAAACACCCAGTGTCAGCTGCAGTCAGGGCTCGACGCAGACTGATGGAGCCTGGTTAGGTTACTTCAGTTAAACAAATATTAAAACACTGCTCAAATGAGCCGTCAGTACCTTTCTGTCCAGTTTTCTGGCTGAAGATTCAAACGTCACCATCCTGTTGTCTGTTTGCTCTTCTGCACAAATCTAACACAAAGTAATGATACTTTAAAAACACTAACACGTGAAAATGTCAAGAAACACATCACAAAAACAAGTAAACACAGTTGATGAAAGAAGAGCTCACAGTAATGGATCCTTTCCCTGCAGGTGTATTATCTCTCCGAACAAGTGGTCTGGTTAGCTTCCTCGAGGACACAATCTGAATAAAGACACATTGCAGCTATTTATGGACAGTCCCAACAGCTTCTTAAAGCACATGCATTGGCTAACAATTAAAAAATATTATGTTAAATACAAATACACGCCCACCCTCTTTGCAGTGTGAGTTTTGTTGCCTTACAAAATATAAATTAAAAGGGGTTTTGTTTATTGCAACATTTATTTTACTGTAAAAAATAAAAATAAAACACACAAAGGAAGTAAAACAAGCGGGATGTCGATGTCCTCCGTTGCTGAGGGATTTGAATAGTGAATGTTTGTAGTTTCACCGAGTGACGTGTCCTGGAGAGTGGAGGGAGACATTTTATCCACCACCAGGTGCAAAGAAGAGCCAGGGGGTGGCCAATGGTGGCCTTGGCCCCCCATAGATTTAAATTTGGCCACACCAATCATTTTAAGCAAAATAAAAACTATAAAGCACAGTTTCCTCAAATGATTGAAGTGGTTGATTACATGTATGGTGGCAGCCATCTTGGATTTTGACATGGCAACACAATTATTTTGACAGTGATCTTTCTTACACCTAGATGCAGCCACACTCCAAGTCGAACGTCAGCGCCTCACATATTTTCCAAGTTACCTGCTCACAACATGCACGGAGGGACCAATCCCCCCTCTTCGCTCCACAACAAGGGACAAAAAGAAAACTGAAAAGTTGAGCATGCAGAACTGTGTCAGTACTTTGTGTTTCCACCTTCTGCTGCAGTTCCAACACTGAGTCTCTCCAGGTCCACTCTTGATGACCAAACTACTCCAGCTTCTTGGATGGGTGCAAGAATCTTTGAATCAAACCAACGTTGGACTGGAGTGAGGTCTGGGCTTTGACTGGACCATTCTAGGACATCTAACTGGTTCTTCCTAACCCCCTGGAGTCTTTAGCAGCATGATGAAGGTGGAAGCTCAATGAGCTGCTGAACATCAAGCCAAACGGCTGTGCACCTCTCACATGATACAGCTGAGAACACTGCAGAAGTAGCAAGATGTTCTGGAGACTCCGTCACGCACGTTGTTCCCCACACTCTCACAGCACAGTGACACACCTGCATCAGACTGATGTCCTGCTAGAAGATTAACCTCCATTCCAGCCTCAAGTATCTGGAAGACTCTAACAAGCTCTTCTTAAGAATTTCCTTAAACTCCCACAGCATGATGCTGCCACCACCATGCTTCACTGTAAAGATCGCAGAGTTCTATAAAACAGCAGAGGCTGCACTGCCGTCCCGCCCATTGTTTACACTGTGATGTCATGAAGAAGCTAAGATGGCGTCCAAAACAGGAAACTGCTCACAGTCCACAAAACAACTGTTCAGTTAACAGGAAGCACAACTGGATCTGCATCACAAATTACTTTTAATATCTTTATAATAACCTAATATACAGTAATTCATAATTAATGTTTATTTCATACATGTAAAACAGCCAGATGTTATAGAAGGAAAATATGTTGCATATAACTTGATGATCTAAACTAGACCTGAAGTCAGTCAATAACATCATTTTACACTTTGTAAAAATGACAATAACTGGAGGAAATAGCAGCTTGTACTATCAAATAATTTGTACTAAACTGTATTCAAGCTGTACTTACTGCTAGAATGTGTAGAGTAATATCTGCCACAGAAGCTACTATCTTTGAGCCAAATCAATAATTAACAGCCATTACTTCAGCTTTATAGGCTGCTTTTAATTTTAAACGGTTCCATTATTAGCTTCAGTTCAGTCGGACCACAGTCATACTGAGGTCAATAAGATAAAGTCTTCGTGAAAGCAGACGTGCTGATGTTTTCTCTTCTGTCCTAGCACATTTTTTTCTGACATTTTGACATTTTATATACATTTTATGATTAAAATACATTCTATTGTTATATTATTATTATTTTTGACATTTTTTACACAGTTAGCCCTCACTCTCACATTCTGTTAGTTACACCGATGACACTATTTTATATGGTTTTGGTTCTACTCTGGAAGATGTTGTGAAGTCACCTGCTGCATGTGGTTTTCTTGAAATCCAGCAGGACTTTTCTGACTTAGATTTGTCCTTAAATGCCAAGAAAACTAAATTTATGTGGTTCAGCCACGGGGGAAGAACCATACGCACCTTGGTGAACTTCACCACAATGGTTATATTATAGAAAAAGGAACAGTCTATAAATAACTGGGAATTTGGACCGATGGTGCTCTGTCCTTTTCAAATCATTTTAGCGTTTTGCAGTCTAAGATTCAAGCCAGACTTGGTTCTCTGTATAGAAATCCATCTTCACTGACTGCAAAACACACCATCGTTGAACAAACCATTCTACCTGTGTTGGATTATGGAGACATCATTTACAGACATGCTTGTAAGGATGTCCTTTGTAAGCTGGACACAATTTATCTCTCTGCTATTCTCTTTGTTACAAATGCTCCTTATAGAACATTATTGTCTCTACTCTCTTGTTAAATGGCCTTCTCTACATACTCGTAAAATTCATTGGTTTACCCTCATTTATAAGACGTTGCTGGTTATTTATTCACCTCCATATTTAACTCATACTGCAACTAGCACCGGTTTCAAAGTATAACACCTGATCCTGGTCCTACAGTAAGAAGTGTATTTAGTTTAGCATATTTCTTAGTTCATATATTAGATCACATTACAGTTTTTCTTTAAAATGTATACTTTTGTCGGATGTAACTGGGACCCTGTGTACACAGTTTCGTTCTACCACATGTGGTGAAAATGACAAATAGAAAAATCTTTGACTTTTGACTTTGAAAATTAGGGGAAAAGACAACATGCTTCTGGTAAAAAAGACATTTACTAACATATCCTAATTTAATGAGGACATACCGGTACATACGAAAGATGGCGTCAACCAGAAAATAAAAAATTAACAAACTCCAACAGAAGCAAGACAACCAGAGAAACCAAAATTACAGCAGAGCATTTTGCTAACAACAAAAACTAATTTCTAAAAAATTGTTTGCCTGGACAAGCCCCTGCTGCTCAGCCATGTGCCTCTTTAATGCCCAATGATGTCAGAAGCATTTGTAATGTGTGTGTGTGTGTGGGGGGTGGGTGGGGGGGTTTGCAATGGAGGGGGGGTCTGGGGGTCCTCCCCCAGAAAATTGTGAATAAAGTAGAAGCCATTTCCTGCGTTCTGGTGTATTTTAACTGTTTAGTTTTGCCTACATAAGTAACACTTGATTCAATAACTATTATAGAGTTAACGGCACAACAAGAATTAGCCTGACCAACAACTCTCCTTGTGTGAATAGAGCACGCTCCGCTTCTCTCATGCATCCTAGCCACAGTCTAAGAAACATACCGTAGTATAGCCTAAGTTAACTTTTATAAAGAAAATCACTAGCCAATATGAAACAATAATGATAATCACTCCTTCTTACCAATGGCCTAGCATCACACTTCACTTCCGGCGAGCTGATGGACAGCAGCTCCCTCCGGCTTCTCTGCAGTCTTTTATCATCAAACTGACCCGTTTTTCGAACCGGACTAAAGTTGGTCCTCCTTCCAACCGAATTCGGTGTTCAGTGACTCAGTCAGACATCAGTCACAAAAAACTCAAGAAAATGTCTGATAATAATGTTGTTATTGCTCTCAGGAATTCAACCTAATCCTGGACCCCCCACTAATTACAGCACACCAAATGACTTTAAAAACGCCTCTGGGCTTCATTTTCTGCATGTAAACGCTCGTAGCCTTCCGAAAAAACTTGATGCTGTGAAAATCCTGTTCAGTTCTTCTGGGGCAGATGTTATCTTTATTTCTGAGTCCTGGCTCAACAAATCTGTAATGAATAATGACGTGGCAATCAATGGATTTAACATCTACCGCTGTGATCGTCAAAAAAGGGGGGGTGGAGTCATTATTTACATTAGAGATACCCTGGTTTCAAGTCTTGTGACTTCCAAAACAATTCCAAATCAGTTTGAAGCCTTATCTGTAAACATCACCTTGAATGGAGGCCAGGTTTTAACTGTAGTCTGCTGCTACCGCCCCCCCTCAGCTTCACCTGAGGCATTAAATGCCATGAAGGAATTCCTTGGTAATTTAAAATTCACAGAGGTCTTTTTAGCTGGAGATCTCAACATTGATTGGTGTAAGTCGACCCCCCTCTGTGACAAATTCAAGGAATGTTGCTTGTCTTTTAATTTAACCCAACTGATCGACTCCCCCACCTGATTAAATAAAAGCCACCCTAACAATTCCTCCATCTTAGACCTGTTTCTAACTAATATGCCTCACAAATTCCCTGGTACAGGTGTATTCGCTGATCTTTTGAGTGATCATTGTGTGACAGCGGCTTTAAGAAATAGTAAACTTCCACCTTCTAAGCCCAGATTAATTAAAAAAAGGGATCTGAAACGTTTCTGTGAACAGTCATTCCTCTGGGATCTGTCTCACTTTGACTGGCATCGTATTCTGTTAACTGATGATGTGAACTCTGCTTGGAACTATTTCCATAATAGTTTCATTTATTTCCTGAACATACATGCTCCTTTTCGTCAGTTCAGAATAAAGGGACGAGACAGCCCCTGGTTTACTCCAGAGCTAGCTGACCTCTTGCACAGGAGAGATCATCTTTGGGCTGCAGCGAGAAAATCTGTCTCAGACACTGACTGGTTGAGTTTCCGACAGATGAGGAATAAATGTACAACTTCTGTCAAAGCAGCAAAACGCAACTATTTCTTATCTCAGACCTCCAAAAATCTAAATGACCCTAACAGATTCTGGAAAACAATTAAATCTCTCTCAGGCACCCCCCAATCATCTGACCTCCCATCACAACTTCTCGTTAACTCTGTTCCTATGTCAAATAAGCACGAGATCCTGAACTGTTTCAACAAACATTTTGTTGCTTCTGGTTCTTTATTTGACACAGTAACTAATGGAAAATCAGCCACTTCACTTAATAACCAAACTTCTTCAAATCAAATCCCTCCTACAAGTCAATCCTCAGTTAATCACACCTTCTC